TTCAGGTAAAAACGACTTCTGGTTGTGGAAAATTAAGATGCAAGCAATTTTAATTCAAGAGAAGTGTATCGATACTTTGAAGAGTGGAACATTGATGCCTACAGGACTTACACATGTACAGAAGTCCGGGATGATGGATAAGGTCAGGAGTGCCATTGTCTTGTGCCTCGGGGATAAAGTTCTAAGAGATGTCTCCAGGGAGCAAACTGTGGTTGCTATGTGGGAAAAACTTGAATCATTGTATATGAAAAAGTCTTTGACTCACAGGTTGAATCTGAAACAATAACTCTATTCATTCTGAATGGTGGAGAACAAATCCATAGTTTAGCACCTCACAGAATTTCACAAGATTATCGATGATCTTGAGAATATTGAAGTGAAGATTGATGATAAATACAAGGTTTTAATTCTATTGAGTTTATTACCCAAATCCTTTGAGCACTTAAAGGATGTCATTCTTTATGGTAAGGAAGGTATTATTACTTTAGATGAAGTCCAGAAGGCGGTGAAATCAAAAGAATTTTCAAAGTTGAAAGATTTGAAGATTGAAGATAGTGGTGAAGGCTTAAATGTGTCAAGAGGATGAGGTGAGCGTAAAGGGATGTCCAAATCAAATAGGCTTGAAAAGTCAAAGGTAAAATGTTTTAATTGTCAGAAAATCGGTCACTTTAAAAGGGATTATCCTGAAAGAAAGGTCAATGAAGATTCTGTTCAAGCTGTAGTTGTATTGGGTGAGGAAAGTTATGAGGATGTCGATACACTAGTAGTATCGAGTTTGGAAGGTGAAGATAGTTGGGTCATTGACTCAGGTTGCTCTTATCACATGTGTCCAAGAATAGAGTACTTTGAAACTTTGAAGGTGGTGCAAGATGGAGTGGTTCGCCTTGGTAATAATAAGGCATGCAAGGTTCATGGTATTGGTACAGTCAGATTTAAAATGTTTAATGATCGTGAACTTCTTATTCACAATGTGAGGTATGTTCCAGAACTCAAGCGAACTTTGTTATCTATAAGTATGTTTGATGATCTTGGCTATTTCACTAGAGTTGAACGTGGAGTGTTGAAGATTTCATGTGATGAATTGATTATTGCTAAAGGGTCTAAAGTATGTGGTCTATATATTTTAGAAGGTTCAAATGTTATTATTCATTCATCGTTAACTAGTGGAGGCTTTCATGACAAGGAAGAGCTATAAGATTTAAGTTTAAGGCGTTCTGAATGCCTTGAGAAAGTTTCAGAGGAGTACAATAAATTTTGTAGAAATCAAGAGATAAAAATGCATGTTACCGCTGAGTTATTTTTGAGTTTTTGGGGGAAGATCTGAGGTTAAAACAACTTACTTGGTTGGTAGAGAATTTATTCAGAAGAAGAATACTAAAAACCAAGGGAGAAACTATAACGGAGAAAACTCAGTTTGAGGTGGAGTTTCCTACTATGGATGCTAGCAGTAGTGAGGGAACGGTTACAAAGATCTTTGATTATCATTTGACTCATGATAAGGTAAGGAGGGTTATTGTAGCATCTCAAAGGGACAATTATGCTAGCCTTGGATATTATATTTTTACTATGGATGAAAGACTGCATAATAAAAGAAGAAAAACCTTCAAGGAGGCATTTGAAAATAGGTGAAGTCAAGGGTGGTTGAAAAATCATACTTGTAGGCTTGTTAAATTACCTAGGCAGAAAAGGGTAATTGAGAACAAGTGAATGCAAGTTGCGAGATCAAGATTCAAGGGTTACTTGAATTCGATCAAAGTTATTGATTAAAGTTTCAACTTGGTAGAGAGCAACAATGTTGTTCATTATTAAATTGGTATCAACACGGTTTAAAGTCAAGGTGGAGATTATTGTAAATCTACCTTAAAAACCTTTATTGATGAAGAGAAAGAAAACATATTTTGGAGATTGCATTTACTGTGAAAAAATTAGATGAAAAGTCGAGAAAAAAATTGGGCGATGAATAGTATTGTTCGTACTATGAATAGTACTATCCGTACGGATGAATAGTGACGTCTGTATAGTGAATAATATTGTCCATATGGTGAATAGTGTTTTTGAGTTTTTGGGCTTTTTACGATTTGGTCCATGGATCCATGTGATTTTGGACTTTGTTTGTTGGGTATTTGCTATTATAAATATATATCTCTTATATGCTTAGTGTATGCCAATATTAGAGTTTACATCAAAAAGGGAGAGCAATGGTTTAAAGGTATATCATAGGGTTTCAACTATGCACAAAGAAAACCTTGGATTACACCTTCGGTTTGAGTGATTCATATATTGAGAGTTAGAGAGATAGCGAAACACTTGGGTAGAAAATAAGGTTATTCTTGGGCGCCTTCAGGGTTGTTCTCGGGAACCTGAAGGCGAACGCTATTTTCTTGTAACTCTTCTGTAATCTCTTGTAACAACTTTCTGAGTATAGTGAATTGGAGAGCTGCTCTCTCCCCCAGAGTAGATCTTTTGATCAAACTGGGTAAACAAACCTTCGACTTTTTCTTGCCTTATTCTGTTATATTATCTGCGTACGGATTATTATTGCTGAAGACCATTTATTTTGATTGCTATTGTTCTTTGTCTCACAAATTGATATTGAATTTTATCGTAATTCACAACAAGTGGTGCGGTGAGCATGGAGCAAAGGGATATTGTTGACAAGTGGTCACCATGGTTAGTAGATGGCAGATTGAGAATTTTTTCGGTAAAAACGACTTTGGATTATGGAAAATTAAGATGCAAACAATTATAACTCAAGAGAAACGTATCAATGCTTTGAAGAGTGAAACATTGATGCCTGCAGGGCTTACACAAGTACAGAAGACCGAGATGGTGGATAAGGCCAGAAGTACCATTATCTAGTGCCTCGGGGATGAAGTTCAAAGAGAAGTCGCCAGGGAGCAAACTGCGGTTGCTATGTGGGCAAAACTTGAATCATTGTATATGACAAATTCTTTGGCTCACAAGTTGTATCTGAAACGATAATTCTATTCATTCTGAATGGTGGAGAACAAATCCATAGTTGAGCAGCTCACAGAATCTCACAAGATTATCGATGATCTTGAGAATATTGAAGTGAATATTGATGATGAGGACAAGGATTTTCTCCTGCTGAGTTCATTACCCAAATCCTTTGAGCACTTTAAGGATGTCATTCTTTATGGTAAGGAAGGTACTATTACTTTGAATGAAGCCCAAATGGCGGTGAAATTCAAAGAATTTTCAAAGTCGAAAGATTTGAAGATTGAAGATAGTGGTGAAGGCTTAAATGTGTCAAGAGGAGGAGGTGAGCGTAAAGGGATGTGCAAATCAAATAGGTTTAACAAGTTAAAGGTAAAATGTTTTAATTGTCAGAAAATCAATCACTTTAAAAGGGATTATCTTGAAAGAAAGGTCAATGAAGATTCTGTTCAAGCTGTAGTTGTATTGGGTAAGGAAAGTCATGAGGATGTCGAAGCACTAGTATATCGAGTTTGGAAACTGAAGATAGTTGGGTCATTGACTCGGGTTGCTCTTATCACATATGTCCAAGAATATAATACTTTGAAACTTTGAAGATGGTGCAAGGTGGAGTAGTTCTCCTTGGTAATAATAAGGAATGCAAGGTTCATGGTATTGGTACGGTCAGATTTAAAATGTTTAATGATCCCGAACTTCTTATTCACAAACACTACAAGAAAATTGGAATATTGCGACGGTTCATTTTGACATATTACGACGGTTTTAACCGTCGCAATTTGTAAGTTACGACGGTTTCAACCCCGTCGCAGAAACGTGCGTCGCGAGGCCGTATTGCGACGGTTGTGAAAACTGTCGTACAAACCGTCGTTATTTTCACGACGGGTAGCTAACTGTCGTAAACTCCATATTGTGACAGTTTTCAACCGTCGTAATTATATTTACTAATTCTAAATATTATTTATTTTCACGACGGGTAGCTAACTGTCGTAATCTCCATATTGTGACGGTTTTCAACCGTCGTAATTATATTTATTAATTCTAAATATTATTTATGCTAGTTGCGACGGTTTAAACCATCGTAATTTTATCTATAGAATTTTTTTTAATAATATTCTATTTTTATTTAAATTACTTTCATCTCATTTTTTTATAATAGTTTTTTTTAATTTAAACTATTATTGTTTTTTGGTAATATATCAAATATATAAAGACTCACGTATATCAAATATATAAAGACTCACATATAACAAATATATAAATTTATATAACTTAAAAAAACAATTGATATTTCATTATATCACTTTTCTAAATAACTTATTATATTTTCTACTAAATATATACTTATGAATATCTAAATGATCAAATGTCTTAATCTATAACTTCATATATACAATATAATCAATACAATTGTACAACCTATGATGATCCAAGATATTCTGCCCAATTTTCCACACCAAGTGATGATCCAAGATTTTCTACCGATGGCTGAAGAATTCTTTGGTATGATTTTGCCTTAGAGGATAGACATGAACATCTACAAAAGCTTAAAAATTACTTCCAGTTAGCACCAATAAAGAAAATCACTTGTGGTATTCTAATATCATCATGAGCCCTTCATAATCAGTTTTGTAGTCTTCTAGTTGCTGCTAATCTTTTGACTTCACCAACACGCTCTTCCAAAAGCAAAACTTCCTCAGGTTGTGTATGGTATTCTAGTAGTTTTTTATCTGAAAAACACTTGTATTTGTTAAGAATAAGAATAAGAATGTTTTACTCCTTCAAATGTCACAGCAAAGACTAAGAATATGCTCCCCACCGATAAGCTTCTCTATATCAATGCTTTTCTGTTTCTCCTCTAATAAAATTGAAAAAGTTAGATATAGGACATATAGTGTAGTGAATGAGCAAAAAGAAATATTGATTGCTGAAATCAATTTATCCAAAATCACATCAATGTTTACCTGTTAGACAATATTGAAAAGCATAAGAATAGAAATCTGAAAAATTTGACTGCCTCCTGACCTTCACATATGCTCTCTATATCAATGCTTTTCTGTTTCTCCTCTGGTAAAATTGGAAAAGTTAGATATATGACATATAGTGTAGTGAATGAGCAAAAAGAAAAGTTGATTGCTGAAATCAATTTATCCAAAATCACATCAATGTTTACCTGTTAGACAATATTGAAAAGCATAAGAATAGAAATCTGAAAATTTTGACTACCTCCTGACCTTCACATTAGATGTCAAATTTAAAAATTAAAAACTTAGCAAATAATAAATATTTTCTTGTAAATAACGAAATCCACCTACAAGAGAATCACTCAAATAATCATACCTCATTTTCTAGGTCTGGAAGTGCCTTTTTCAATTTACTTACTGTATCAGTCCTTAATGCTTTTAAGCCTCTCCTCCACTCATCCTACAAAATATATAGGTGTTACATTAAAAGTTATTCAGTATAAGGATGGGAAAAGAAGCAAGGTACCAAAACTACATGATTGTGCTGTACTAAACATAAGCAAGACCCGGGTATTTCCAAATATTGGTGTCTTTAATGTATAGAATTTTATTAATAAAAGGACAGAACTTAAGTTCAGTTTGATATGTTAGGTGCTGTGGTTAGAGAACAATAAGTAAAGGACCTATGAAAGTGTACTTAGGTCCAAAGTTTAAAAATTGAAATAATTCTTTGAGAAATGTTAAGAACAATGGACATGATAGTATACATACCAAGGTAAAATATCCTTGCTCCTCAGATTTCATTTTCCTGTCACGTTTAGTCTTCATTAACTCCAAACATAAACTTAAGACAAAGATATAAGAATATGGCATTCAAGGACAATTAAGAAAAGAACTGTAGCTTACCACGCAAGCATCAAAATCCTCAAATCAGTATGATCTACCTCCATATCAGCACAAAGTGCTTCAATTCCTTCTGGGCTGTAACAAAATTACAAAAGTATGGTGAACCTATTTTAACAATGTAAACACTTGAACATAATATGATTGTATAAGAAAAAAAACTTCACTTATCCACCAAGTATCTAGGATTCTATACACAGTAATTATCGTTTATCTGACACTTTGGTTTCTTTTGTTTTCTATTACTTACATCCATGATTTAAATCTTATCAAATCTAAACAGATAGCATGAGTGAATATTATCAATTCTTACCAAGTGATTGGTGCAACTATTGGCTAGTATAGTCAAATTAAGCAAAATAAAAATAAAAATAATCCTTTTAAAACATGATGACACTATCCAGTATCTCAGCTACCACAACCTTAAGTCTCTCCATTTTGTAAGACCAACATTGGACCAACGCCAAGCTTCAAGGCTATTATGTATCAACCATGTTCAAAATCTATCTATAAATTAAAATTCCAGCCAAACAATTTTTAACAGACATTATGAAGCTTCATTAATCAGCATGTAATTCCCTCAATAAGAAGTTGCAAAACAAAATTTATATCAAAATAGGTCTTAAATGTCCTCATTTAATTCAAGAAACTGTCAAATATGGCATGGGCAGAAAATGACAAATATTAAGTAGCAAAAAAGATGAGGGTCGGCATTGTCAGATAGAGGAGCCAAAGCACCATGATCCCCTACGCTTCAGAGTTCTAACATCCACCACCATGTTTCCTTTGCATGTGGCAGCTTTTGATTGATATCACAACATCTAGATGAGTGTCCATTGAAAACATCACGAACATGATGATACCCATATAAGGAAGCCACATGAAGGTGGTTGTCTGTCACTGGAACACATGTGCCTGTCTGTCAGCAAAATCTAATGACATTTGTTGATCACGACCAATGTTGTCAAACAACGGCTATAGTGGTGCTACAACGCTATAACGTATTGGAATTTGAACAAACCCTTCTTGTTCTGCAATGCACTATGCAGTACAAAGTGTTGTCAAATAACCGTTATAGCGACGAAATAACTTTGTAGCATATCAGAGTTTAAACAAACTACTCTTGTTCATTTACAGCAGTAAGTAACCACTAATTGAATACTATTAATCCACACATATAAATGTCCAAGATTTGATATTTGAATTGAGAAAACATCAACGGCGTAATATTATTGAATCAATGTAATTAGATTTAGAATCACATAACTAGAAGCATACTTACTCAATCACTCCACTAGATCCATTGGCATACGAATAAAATAGACTATCGATTCGCTCCAGTTCCTTTGAGTTAGCTTTACTGGAAGCTGAAAAATTATGCCCATACAATTAGAACATACCAGCCCAGTTATGTTTAACAAACATCATCAATATGATAGCAAAATAGCAAAACAGAGAAGAGGCAAGAACACACATGTAATTAATTATAAACAACATATATGCTTCAAAATACATATAAGCAACTCGATTATCGATATTGCAAACATATGAACCAAAAACCTTGCATACAACCAAACCCTACAGAACTATATCAGAAACTAACCTTCAAAGAAACATCAAGAAGAATGGTTGACCTTCAAAAAATCAACTTTAACATAACCATGAGAATACATAACCTAACCCCTTAATCTGAGCTTAACCTCAATTTGAATAATTAAAGAATAAATAGGAGAAACAAACATGGTAGAGTATAAATCAACGAACTTGAAGATGGATTAACAGACAAAATTTGGATTTTGCAAATAGAAATTGAAGGTGAAAGGAATTAAAAAGATGAAATACCAGAGCGGAATAGAACCGAGGCGGAGGAATTGACGGAGGGGTTGGAATTGGATTGACCCGTTTTCTTGGATGCAGCGCGTCGCATCTTCTATAAGAAATCCAGAGAGGAAGACTCCGAGTTAGCGAGATTCAAATCGGAGAGAGAGAGAGAGAGAGAGAGAGAGAGAGAGAGAGAGAGAGAGAGAGAGAGAGGATTTTTGTTGTTTCTGTATTTTGGGGAAAGAGGTTGAGGAGCGTATTGTGGCTTTATCACTAATGATGATGATTATGATTGACTAAAGTAATTGTGACAGTTCGCCATAACTGTCGCAAGTGTGGAAAAATGACGGTTCTTTGGTAACTGTCGCAATTATTTTATACAACATGCCTAAAATATCTGTGACGGTTGGCTCAAACCGTCGTAAGAACTGTCGTAGTCCAGGAATAAGGACGGTTTTTTTATAACTGTCGCAAAAAATCTATGACAGTTGACCCTAACTGTCGTGAAAACCGTCGCAATCCAGGAATAAGGACGGTTTTGTGATAACTGTCGCAACTCAAGTGTCGTAAATCTCCTTTTTTCTTGTAGTGAAAGTGAGGTATGTTCTAGAACTCAAGCGAAACTTGTTATCTATAAGTATGTTTGATGATCTAGGCTATTGTACTAGAGTTGAACGTGAAGTATTAAAGATTTCGTGTGATGAATTGATTATTAGTAAAGGGTCTAAAATATGTGGTCTATATATTTTAGAAGGTTCAAATGTTATTATTCATTCATCATTAACTATTGAAGGCTTTCATGACAAGAAAGAGCTATGGGATTTGAGTTTAAGGCGTTATGAATGCCTTGAGAAAGTTCCAGAGGAGTACAATGAGTTTTGCAGAAATCAAGGGATAAAAATGCATGTTACCGCTGAATTGTTATTCAGTTTTTGGGGATGATCTAAGGTTAAAACAACTTACGTGGTTGGTAGAGAATTTCTTCAGAAGAAGAATAGTGAAAATCAATGGAGAAACTATAACGGAGAAAACTCAGTTTGAGGTGGAGTTTCCTACTATGGATGCTAGCAATAGTGAGGGAACGATTACAGAGATCTCTGATTATCATTTGACTCCTGATAAGTTAAGGAGGGTTATTGTAGCATCTCAAAGGGACGGTTATGCTAGCCTTGGATATTATGTTTTTAGTGTGGCTGATGGACTGCAAAATAAAAGAAGAAAAATCTTCAGGGAGGCATTTGAAAACAGGTGGAGTCAAGGATGGTTGAAAATTCATATTTGTAGGCTTGTTAAATCTTCAGGGAGGCATTTGAAAACAGGTGGAGTCAAGTGGATGCAAGTTGCAAGATCAAGATTCAAGGGTTGCTTGAATTTGATTAAAGTTATTGATTAAAGTTTCAACTTGGTAGAGAGCAACAATGTTGTTGATTATTAAATTGGTATCAACACGGTTTAAAGTCAAGGTGGAGATTGTTGTAAATGTGCCTTAAAAACCTTTGTTGATGAAGAGAAAGAAAACATATTTTGAAGATTGCATTTACCGCAAAAATCAAAAGTTTTAGAAAGTCGAACAAAAAGTCGAGAAAAAAAATTTGGCGGTGAATAGTGTCGTCCGCTCGACGAATAGTATTATCTGTACGGATGAATAGTGACGTCCGTACGGTGAATAGTATTGTCCGTGCGGTGAATAATATTTTTGAGTTTTCAGACTTTTTTCGATTCGGTCCATGGATCCATGTGATTTTGGACTTTGTTTGTTGGATATTTGCTATTATAAATATGTATCTTTTATATGTTTGGTGTGTGACAATCTTAGAGTTTACACCAAACAAGAGAGAGCAATGGTTTAAAGGTATAGCATAGGGTTTCAGTTATGCACAAAGAAACCTTGGATTACACCTTGGGTTTGAGTGATTCATATATTGAGAGTTGGAGATGTAGGGAAACAATTGGGTAGAAGATAAGATTGTTCTTGGGCGCCTTCAGAGTTGTTTTTGGGAACCTGAATGCGAAGATTATTTTCTTGTAACTCATATGTAATCTCTTGTAACAACTTTATGAGAATAGTGAATTGGAGAGCTGCTCTCTTCCCCAGAGTATATCGTTTGATCGAACTGGATAAACAAATCTTCGATTTTTTTTTTACCTTATTCTGTTATATTATCTCTGTACAGATTATTATTGTTGAATACCATTTATTTTGGTTGCTATTGTTCTTTGCCTCACAAATTGGTATTAAATTTTATCGTTAATTCATAACAAGATTCACAACATTTCTGTTATTTGCCTTATGTAACTTCTATCCTAATTCTTTTGTATTGTTTGTATAAATGCATTGGAGATATTCTCATCAATAATAGTAGTTAATAATAATTTTCACCCTTAATTTTTCTCTAAATTTTTCTCTCCTCTACCTTCAATTTGTCTATTATTAGTTAAGCTGGTGGTTTCAAATTCTAACAAGTAGCAGATTGAACAATGTAGAAAACAAAAGAAATAAAAATGATACATATGATATTAATCTTTAAAATATTTTATACACAATTTATTCTTAATCAATACAATCCAATCCTGTAATATTCCACACCAAAATAAATAAATGAATAATTCAAGCAGGTAAGAAAAGCAACAAAAAAAAAAATACAATAAAAATCACACAAACACTTCAATCACATTATTCAAGTTTTATCTCCTTATTGCAGCAGCACCATGAATAGCTGCTATGTAGAAAAGCTGTGTAGCTGAAAGAATAATCAGAAAAGCCTCCATTGTTTTCTGCAAATTTGAACAATTCAAACATCTTGTTAAGAAACACATTCTTTATATTTTCACAAAATTTAAGGAAACATTCTTAAAAACATTAATAAAATGACAGTAAATAGAATTTTCCTGTGTCTTACCAGACGAGAATTTCTGACGTTCAGCTGAATCTCTTTGCATCCAAATCTACACAAATCATATTCCATTTTACTTGTTAGATATGTGATGTAGTCCCAATTTAAAACCTTGATGATAGCGTCCGCAAATCCTAGCTCAATTGACAAAAGTCGATATTGCTAGGTTAGACGTTAACACCATGGTGTGTGTGAACTTCTAGCGGTTATGACCACTTTGTCTATAATAAAAAGAACCTTATGATATAATCAATCTAATGATGTCAAGAAGAGGTTACCCCATGGCAAGAACTGTAAGAGCCCAGGCAATGGCAGCAACTGAAGCTGCAGATGGCAAGCTTTCTGAAGTCCATGAACGGATATGATTGAGTCCTGAAATTAATGATCCAACTCCAACAACTCCAGCAATCAAAGCAAATGTAACAAAGAATCCCGTGGCAGCATTTCCCATAGGAAAGTATATGGGTGAAAAATGAGCCGGAAGATCGAACCCTGGACCTGCATATTGCATAGTTTTTCACATCAAATAACAAAATAAACATTTGATGGTATCCTCTGCACGTAATTGTAGAGACTAATCACCCGAGTCAGAAAGCAGAAAAAGTCGGTAGAATATAAAAGATGGGAGAAAGTCTCACCTATAATAAAACCATGATCTATGGCTCTATTCATGGCCCATCCACCAATGCCCAAAACTATGACATACATGCAAAAATTCAGCCCCAAAAGAAGAGTTGCAACAGGCTTCATTTGCTCATTTGCCATCTCTCTGCTGTGTGGTTTTTTATCCAAATAAAATCTGGTTGGAAAAGTAAATTTCAGAAAGACTATGATATGATACAAATGTTTTGTGTAAATGAGAGCTCTTATGGCCTATATATATCTATGTATAGAAATGATGGAAAACAAAAGAAAGGTTTAGTTCTTTACTTGCTAAGGCTGCTAGATCAAAAGGGCCATGAAGGGTTGTAAAGATGATAAGATTCATGCTTCAAATTCAAGGCAAGATGAAATATGCTAGATAGATCCTGATTCTTACTTGCATAACATTTCTTACTGTTTTTTAATCCTGGTATTAATTTAATACCTTGTTGATTTCTGTAGTTGTTCGTTCTTACAGAAAAGTTCTATTCTTTGCCTCTTAATGACTCTTGTCACTTACTTTATCTTATTGTCTTCCTATCCTTATAATGGTATTACATTACACTTTTTTCCAGTTAAAAAATTGTTTTTTAGTACAAAGAATAATTTTTACAGTGGATTGAATAAGATATACTGGCACCTAATATTGTTAAAGCTAAAAGTGTGGTTTATGTAAATACACTGCAATATCAAGACTTTGTTAAAGATAAGTGGAGGAATTTTTATGTGTCAGGATGGGATGAATATGTTTTATAGGGAAAATTTAAAAGCTTATGTGTCAGATGGGATGAATATGTTTTATAAGAAAAATTTAAAAGCGGTAAATGTATGTTTGAAGGAGTGACATGTTTCAAGGTGTCGCATAAAAATCATGGTCGTAATATTGGTGAAAACAATTAAGAGAATATTCTCTTCATCTTTTTACGCTTGGTAAAAACTTACATTTTAAAATTCGGAAATACATTTTCGGATGACCTTTTTTATACACTCTTCAGTATATATTTATGAGTTATCTTTATTTTATTAAAATTTAGTCCAAAAATACATCACTGTATTAATATTAAGATGAGTTTGGAGATGCATCTCCGTAGCAATTCTTAAATCAAAACTCATTCAGTTTTACGAAGATGTATCTCCGTAACAACTCTTAAATCAAAACTCATTCAGTTTTACGAAGATGCATCTCCGGACGCATTTAATTCATGTACCCGCGCAAGACTCTTCCCCTTTACTTCTTTATTTAGTGTGAACTTACTAAAACTCCATTTGAATTCGTGAGCAAGTTTCTTCACATTCTTTTCTCAAGGATCAACACTACTTCTACTTCACTATATTCAGTTGCAGATCATTTCACTCACTTCTTCCAAGTTTTTTTTTCATAACTCTTATTAGGTAAGTTTCTCATTTTTTTTTATTTTTTAGATTTGATGAATGTATTATGTAAAATAAGTTGTTTAGGATGCATTAAGTAGTATTTATATTCAAAATAGGTAGTTGGTATAGACATGAATTAGGTAGTATTGACATTCAAAATAGGTAGTTGATATAGACATGCATTCCCATTTTATTGGAGTTTAGCGCATCAATGAGGTTTATGTCATTTCTACAACTCGTGAGTTTATTTTGAGACGCATCTCTGGATTCTGTCTGAATTGGTTTACGGAGATGCATCTCTGGATTTTTTCCTAACTGCATTTTGATGTGATTTTCTGGTTTTATTACAGGTATAATGACTGAAAACAACCCGGATAGATTGAGGCTCAGACGTGTGTCCCAACATGTGTTGTACGACGTGAGAGGGCTAGGGTCAGGCCCACGAGGCCATGAGTTGATGCTACCTCGTTTAATGGTGAATCGTCAAGTTCTCAAGGTCATGGTTTACAATCATCTACTTCCTAAAGTTGCCTTACTGGAGTCACATATACTTCACGGGGCCAAGTGTCCTCTACTTATGAATCCCTTAAAGCTTATGAAGCCAATCATTAGGAACTCACTTGTGGATGTCCATGTAGATAGTTATCCAGGAGGACCATGTGACACCTCCTTACTTCATCTATATGGAGACAATGCTTCTAGGAATGTCTACGAAGAAAAAATATATTTATTTACATTTGTTTTATACAAATTTAATCGCAATTGATGTTTATATTTTTTTTATAGAAGCGTCCATGTTTAAAATCCATAAGTCACGAAAGAAAGATTTTGTAATTGGAACATAATGAAGATGACTAGTTCCAAAATGTTCTCCACTACTTTGGGTTTGCCGGTTTATGTGTTGTTGGGTACAATACCATAAACCATGACATGCATATGACATTTGCATATAGATGGCATTCAGAGACGTCATCTTTCCGCCTTCTTGTTGGTGAGATGTTCATCATTTTGGATGACATCTCATGCCTCATACATCTTCCCATTGGGGGAAAATGACTAGACCACTTCAAGCTCAGTCGAGACGAAGTCATCGAGATGATGATTACCTATTTGAGAGCTAACCCAACTGATGCCTGGAAAGAGGTAGTTGACACCATAAGTGCTCATGCTAGGTTTAAATTCTTGGGAAACCTATATAAAGACCACTTATAGATGGTTGTAGATGTTGACGATGATGATATACAGGTTGAGTGCCATTGGCAATGTGCATTAAGATGTTACCTCTTGTTCCTAGTTAGCATTTCCATGTTTGTGGATAAAAGTGCAACCTACGTTGATGTGGTCTAGCTTAAATACTTCATCGACTTAACAACGATTCACGGGTATAACTGAGGAACCGCCTTCTTGGTCTATCTGTACTCGAAGTTGGGCAAAACTTCTCTTTGGATGACTAAGCAGTTGATAAGAAGTTTCATGTTCCTTACATAATTTAGTGTTACTAATATTTTCATAGCTCTTTTGTTAGACTTGTCACAAATATTTTTTTCTGAATCATATTCAAGGATGGATCCTCTCTCACTTTTCTTACATTTTTTGATTTCAAATTAAGAAAAACAATACTAAGGATTGACCGTGTGCTTACCTATATGCTTTACTTAGAGAGAGTTAGGAAATCGAGCCCTTTAGGGTGTATCTTGACTGTCATGTAGCAGATGACATTGCCTTTTACCCATGCGGCGATCACCACCAGACGCGTCAGCTGGACACCATTTCTTTATGCTTCAGATGGCTGGCTTATGGGTTAGTTCTCATATATGCACATCTGCGCGAGTGAATGATGCAACAGTTTGGATATTTGCAAGCTATCCCGATACACTCCTCAGTTTCTTCTCGTCCCACTCTCAATCACAAAGATCTTGTTGCCATACTTGAGGGTCTCGATATTATCTGGTAGTTGAGGACTATCGTAGGGTGAGATCTCATGTACAATGGGTTTTTTCATATGGCTACATCACATGGTTCTATAGGATGTCACATCCTATCAGGACACCAAACATTGATGGAGAACCATGTGAAGACATGGCTTCTCAAACGGTTTTGATGACGACACACTCTACAACATACAAGGATGGATAAAAGAATCTCAAAGAAATCAAGTTTGAAGACTTCAATTTCAAATCAATATGTCAAGACTTGGTAAAGAATGAAGACAAAGTTTTACACAAATGAAGGTACAATATATAGCTTCTATATAGTTTGAACAAGTGTTCAACTTTATCTCTCATTCTTGCATATCATATTGAAAATGTTTTAAATCATTACAATGCATTTTTGCCTCTGTTTCAAAATGTTTTTGGAAATTTTGTTCAGAGTAATCGGTTACCACTTCCTGGTAATTGATTACCCTGTGTTATCTTTCAAAACTTTTAAAACGTTAAGGCTGGTAACCGATTACCACTGGCGCAATGAGCCAGAAAATTGCATATGTTAGCAGAATTTTATTTTCTCATTTCTTCTTGAACCATGTCAACTCTTGGTCATTTTCACTCTTTTGAAAAGGTGTTTAGAGGCATTTATATACCTCATAATCTCAGACTTTGAGATTAACCTTCTTGCAAAATTCAAAATTTATTTTCATCTCTCAATTTCCAAATTTTCACAAGTGTTAAAAATTCTTCATTTTCACACTAGGTAGAAGTCTTGTCTTAGGATCTAACAATATTGAAAAATATCTTTTGTGTTGAAAGGGGACTGGAGTACTCTCAGAATATGAGGGGAACCAGAATATATCATCGTGTCTCTTTACTTTTCTCTTTTACTGCATTCATCACTTAGTAACTTTTAGGAAAGTAAAAAAAGAAATCTACGTCAAGATCGGAAAAATATTTTGAGTACCTAATTCACCCCCCCTCTTAGATGAAACTTTACTTACAATTGGCATCAGAGCAGGTTATAAGTAACCTATTCCTAAAAGATCCAGATGGCTTCCACTAGTGCGAACCCGGTTTATAAAGATGGCAGTAGCAATAATAAACCTCCTCTGTTCTATGGAGAATATTTCGACTTCTGGAAAATTCACATGAAAGCACATCTAGAGGCACAAGGAGAAGGCATATGGGAAACTGTTGAAACTGGCCCTCATGTACCAACTAGTGTTATGAACGGTGTCGGTACTCCAAAGATTCAAAGTGCATGGGACGATGATGATAAAAAGAGAGTTCTAAATGAGAAGAAAACTATCAATTTTTTATAAAGTGCTTTAAGTATGGATGAGTTCTTCCGAATTTCACAATGCAAATCGGATAAGGAATTTTGGGATGCTTTGGTGGAGACTCATGAAGGAACCGTCGAGGTTAAAAGATCAAGGTTGAACACACTAAGTCAAAAATATGAAATGTTTCGTATGCTGCTCGGAGAATCCATTGTTGCTCTCCAGAAAAGATTTGTTCACTTGACCAATCATTTGATTGCATTAGGTAAGATATTCTCCAATGATGAACTAAATTTGAAAGTGTTAAGATCTTTAACAAGAGATTGGCAACCCAAAGTTACGAAAATATCGAAGAAGAAAAGTCTCTCAACAATGACTTCTGCATCACTTTTTAGAAAGCTTCAAGAACACGAGTTAGAACTTGGACGCCTTGAAAAACATGAACATCAAGAGAAAAAGTCTAAAGGTATCGCATTAAAGGTAGACTCGAAAGAAGGACCAGGCGATGATGCATCGGAGGAAGATGAAAATTTTATGC